TAAGAGACGCTAAAAAGGTACTTAGGCGAGAGTTCGCGAGGTTAAGAGACGCTAAAAAGGTACCGTTAATACTTTCTATAAAGGAAAAAGAGGTAGCGCGTAGATATACTAGATTAAACGGCGGATAAGTAAGGTCTTCTTAAATAGATTAAAGAGGTAGACGCTCTATAGTAGGTAGGTAAGGTCTTCTTAAATAGATTAAAGAGGTAGACGCTCTATAAGTAGGGCTAAACTTCTAAATTTTATAGATAAAGGTATAGAATAGGCCTATATTAGGCTTTCGTTATAATAGCCTCTACATTATTATTATAGCGGAACTAGTTAGGATCGAGCGCTAGTACGGCCTTATACTACCTTACGATTAAAACGATATATAAGAAGTTCTAAGCTATCTAACTAAAACGACTAAATTATAAGCTTAGTTATCGCCTAAAGGTAGAATAGGATTTCCGTTATAAGGCTATATTATCTTTAAAGCTTACTATTACTTCGTAGACGAATATTAATTAAGCTCTAGATATTATAGATATACTTAAATTTAATAATTAGATTAAATTAATTAACTTTAAATATACTACCTTACTAACTTTATTTTCCTTTAACTCTAAAATATAATATATATTACGAAGAATACTATATCTAGTACTAGACGGCTACCTAAGAGAGGTAGACTCCTATCTATAGATAATATAGTAGACCTATCTACCTAGCGCTAACGTTAGTAAGACCGTATCTATTAGTAGAGGCTTTAATAGAGATAACGATAGGAAGCTACCTAACTACTAGCTCCTAGATAATAAGCTATTAAATCTATTATTAAATACCCTTTTAACTTTCCTAATTCTACTTCTACTTTATCTACTATTAGCTTACGTATATAAGGTTAAGATTTCGTCTAGGATATTATAGATACTATCCGTTAAGTTACCGCTCTCGATATTAACGAATATTAAGCCCTCTACCTTAAATACCTACTGTAGCTATAACTAGTATCTTTATCCCCTACTTAAAGTCTATATCGTACTAATAGTTATAGATATCGCGAACCCCTTAATATACTACTACGTCTACTATAAAGACTATTACTTAACTAGCGATAGATTTACTACTATACCGCCTTACCGCGCCTATATTTAAGTATACTCTAGTCCTTAAGCTATTAATCCCCCTCTACTCTATCTACGCTATCCGTACTCCCTTATATATACCTACTATCGCGATATACTCGCTACTATTAAGACTATACATCGGTCTCGAGCGATAGCGAATCTAAATATAAAGATTACGAGAGTAGTACTTAAGTAAAGCTATTAAGGTCTTAGACCGATACTAAGACTACGAATTACCTAAACTATATATCTACGCTCTCTATAAGGGTACCTCTATACTTAACTATAACTTACGCGAGAGTCTATACCTCTACTTACTTCTTAAGTTACTCGCCCGCGTCGCTAGTATCTATTAAAATTACGGCCGTAATCTACCCTCTCCTACCGTCGTTATCCTCTTAAGATATACCGTCCGTATATACTTCGGCTAGAGTTAATATAGACTCTCTAATTATCTTTAGCCTAATTACGATACGTATATTAACTAGAGTTTTATCTCTACTCTCCGTATTAAGAGTATATCGTACGTCGCGACGATCTTAATATATCTTTAGAGATACTCCCCCCGAACTCTTTAACTTAGATATGTTAACCCCTCCTAAACTTATTAACCCTCCTTCCTAGACTTCCTCTAAGTTACTTAACTCTAACGATATAGAAGGACTCTAATTTAAGTAAGAGATAGTTAGTTAAGAGGAGGATATTCCGGACGAGAATAGTCTTTATAGTATTAGACTTAAGAGCGATAATAACGAGTAAGACTACGTAACCTTTACTATTAAGAAGCTCCTAGTCTAGTTCTATTTTAAAGGATACTATAGATATACGGTTAAGAAATACGCCTCTCTCCTCTAGTAGTATAAGGAGGCCGTTAGAGACTAGAAATACTACGATCTACTCTCTTATTTCCTACGCGCTTATTTCCCCTTAGTTATTTAGCTAGACTACAATATTAACTAGCTTCTAACTCGTAACTAGGCGTAGGGTAATTTTATACCCTTAATAGTATAATAGGAAGAAGCTATCTACGGTACTAGTCTCTATTAACCCTTCCCGCGATATATCTACCTCTATATATATACTACCCTCCCTATAGATCTCGAGATCTTATCCGATATCGATAGCTTTCTTAGGTTTACGACGTTACTTACGTTCGCTTAGAATAGGTTAAACGTTAAGCTTATACTACGCGTATACCGGAATATTACGATCGACGTCTATATTACTAGTATCTCGTACCGCGAGGTTCCTATTCTACCTTAAGAGGAGGACCGAGACGAGGACGAGGGCGACTCTCTACGCCCTTAGACTACTACTCTAGTAGG